AGCACTTCATTGGATATTTTGGTGAGTCTCGAGAAACTTTTGGATATGAAGTCATCAGAACCATGGAGTTATCATCGACTTCCAACCCCCACTGCTACATTTCCTGCCATTATTAATAGTGAAGATGAGGATATTGAGAATGATTTACTTAGGACACGTGACCACGGTACAAATAAATCAAGCTTGAAAAATGGAGTTGTTCAGAAATCAAAGAGCTTTCTACAACCCTATGATATTGCAAAGGAGGGCATTTCCAAACAGGTGTGAGCTTTGAGGAAAAAGTTGCAACAGATTGAGTTGCTTGAAGAGAAGATGGTCAAAGGACACCCCCTTGATTACCAGCAGGTTGCAAAACTTCAGATGAGGTCAGCATTGCAGAGCTCACTTTCTGAGCTTGGCGTGCCTACTGAAACAGTAAAGACAAAGGCATATTCGTTCGTGGATGAAAAAGATAGTAGAAAAGGGGCATCTAGAAAGCAAAGAAAAAAGAGCAAAAAGAAGGCAGCACAAAAGGATGAGGAGCCTAACAATAATGACATAAGTGCTGAATCAGACCTCATAAAAGCTTTCCTAGATATTGAAGTTTCACAAGTCGCAAACAAGGTAGGGATTTTAATATATCCTTGCTAATCTTTTGATAAGCAAAAGTCAACAACATTCATCTACTTTCTGGCGTATTAGGGTGCATCTGCATTTATATTAAATTTGCTTGAGCTGACTATTTGTGGTGAGATTTATAACTTTAAATAAAGCAAAACAAGTGACATCAGCTACAACTGTTTTGTTTGGTTAGTTGCATGTTGGTTTATATGAGATTTTTCAGGAAATTTTTGAATAATGAAGTGGGAGGACTTCTAATTCTCTTTGTAACATTGTTACTTGTTTAGAAACTATAGAGGGACAAATTAACATACGCCACTAACGCATTATTTTATATCTGTTGAAAGTGTGTTTATAACATGATGTAGCTTGTTCTGAAACTTTATCTCAGAAGGTGATGTAATTAGCAAAAGTTGCCGAGTATTTGAGTGTTAAAGCTACAATTAATTCAATAAGATTGAGTAAATGATCCTGAATAGTTCATATCTGATATCCCTACTTGTCATCTAGGAGAAAGATGCACATATGAAGAGTGCTGAGGCCAGCCAAGAGATCAAAATATCTCAATTTTGCAATAAGAACGCAATTGCAGACGTTCCAAAAAATAAAACTGGATCTACTGCTTCTTCCAAGGAGCAGAATAAAAAAGGTGGGCTCTCAATGTTCTTGAGTGGTGCCCTTGATGACGTTCCAAAAAGTGTTGCCCCTCCTCCCATGATACCCAAAATTGAGGGTCCTGCTTGGGATGGTGCTAAAATTTCGAAAGGATCTACCACACTTCGTGAGATACAGGATGAGCAGAGCAAAACTAGGGCAAGTAAGCCTACACCAATTAAATATCAAGTGGAGGAGCATTCTGATGGCTGTAGTGTTGGGAAGCTCCAACTAAATTCATTTTTGTCTTCCACCCCGATTCCCATGGTCCCAGGAAGGATGACACCGGCATCTGAGGGAGAACGAAATACTCCTCCTTGGGCTGCATCAGGAACTCCACCTTCTCTTTCGCATCCCTCTCTTAGGAACATCCAGTTGCAACAGGTGATTCTCTTCCTGTGTGTACATGAAAACCTGCAAGAATGCTTGTGGTTTTTACTTCTTCCCCTAAAGTATCAGATGTGAAGGTAAGGGGCTATTTCCAATTTTTGTATCTGTGACATTCGTATTGCAGATATCTCATGTATTCATTAAATGGGAAAGAATCTAAATTCTTGTCTTCTGTAAGAGCTTCGTGTACTGTTATTAATTTTTCCACTTGCTATTGTCTTTTACCAGTGGCTAAC